CATTAGTATGAAATCCAAGAAATCCTTGAGGGGCCCAGCTTCACGTAAGCAATCTCTCTGACTTTGGGATGAGAAGCTAAGTGTGGCAGGGAGCAGAATCCCGAGTCTCTGGTAATTATAAAGCTGATGTTAGTTTGGGATGATGACTGAATTCTGGATATATTATATATAAGCCAGAGAAAGTGTCATAGTTTTTAAAATCAAGGACATCTGTTTCTTACAATAAACGATAGAATGAAAAACAAGAGACCAGCAGGATGGGCAAGTGTTGCAGTCTTTGTACTGTCAGGAAGCTCCGCAGTCACCAGCGGGACCAGAAGTGGCACAACAAGCAGTACAAGAAGGCCCTTCTGGGTGCAGCCTTGAAGGCCAACCCCTTTGGGGGTGCTTCCCATGCAAAGGGGATCATGCTGGAAAAAGTAGAGGTTGAGGCCAAGCAGCCTGATTCTGCCATCAGGAAGTGGGTCAGAGTCAGGCTGATCAAGAATGGCAAGAAAGTCAGGAAAACGATGAAGTGCTGGTTGCTTGATTTGGTAAAAAAGGTTATGTCGTTGGTGACATTCCTGGAGTCCTCTTTAAGGTTGTTAAAGAGCTCTTTTGGCTCTCTACAAAGGCAAGAAGGAAAGACCAAGATCATAAGTTTCATGATGAAAAGACATTAGTAATAAATTTTCATATTGCAAAAAAAGAATGGCAAGACTATAAGAAGATATTTGCGAACATATATAGCTGACTTAGGTTCAGCATCCATAACTTAATAAATCTTCATAGATCAATTACAGAAAGACAATTGAACAGAAAGGTGGGCAATAGAAATGAGTATTTTAGAGAAAAGATACAGCTAATGAACTACTCAAAATGTTCAACTTTATTAGTAAGCATAGAAATATAAATTTCACATCCACAAGAAGATGTAGAAGTCTGAAATAGCAAGCGTTAGTTATGATATGGTGCAATGGTGAGCCAAGCTCTGCTCGTGTGAATGTAATTTTGTACAACTATTTTGGAAAACAATGATTTGCAGAGCCCTGCGAGGTCAGGAAATTATGGTGGGTGGTTCTGAACAATAAGCGGGCAAGATGGTACATTGTTTAGTCAGTGTGATGTGAGCACTCATGATTTACGAGGCTGAGAAGTTTGTGTGATGACAAAGTCCAAGATGGAACCTCGCAAATGTCTTGCTAAGCTAGCGAGGATGTGTTACTGGAAGATAACAAGGTGCGCCAGCTTAGAGAAACCACGCAGTAATTTGAACAGGAAGAGTTTAGTGTAAAGAACTGATTGCAAAAGACGACTGAAGTGTTGGAGGATTGGCTAGCAATAAGTAAAATGAATTCTAAAAGAGCATAAGGAGAAAGTAGATGTAGTATAGAGTAGTAGAAAATCTCAAAGCAGTGTGTCACAGCCCATAGCTGTGGAGCTATGACAAGTCTCTTTCACGCAGGGCTGAGATCCAGGCCTTACTGGAGAAGTTGCTGTGCTGCTGAGTAAGGGAACTTGCCGGACATCTGCTCTCTGAAAATGTGCTCCTGTAGAGTACAAGTACAGTGGGAGATGCCTTACCAGAAATGTTCTACAGAATTACCCAGGGGCAGTGCCAGTGGAAGCTCTGCCCACTGTGCACCATGGAAGCCCGTGCTGCAGAAGGTAGGCACCAGGAAAGGTGGGAGCTCAGCAAGAGCCCAGGGAGTGAGCACATAGGAAGCAGGAAGCAAACGTCTTTCTTCCCTCACTGTTGTTCCAGTTTTGCTTACTGAGAAATCACAATCCTGTGGCGGCTGGTAAAGTGAAAGAATACTTCAGCCTCAGGTCCATTTGCACAAAAGTTGTTTAAAGGCAGGCCGAGCAGTGCTATATCAACTACTAGTAGAGGAACTCAGAGAACTGAGTAGCCACGATATGGGACTGTTGTTCCTGTGGACGAGGTATGTGCAGAAACTGGAGTGGAGCAGAAGGTTAGAAACCAATTTGTTTCAACTGTGACCACAGTCTGCATGCAGCAGGGTCAAGTGGGAGGGATGTAACAGTGCAGACTCCCTTGCCCCACCGCGGAGCTGCTAAACTAGAGCATCTGGATGTAAGGCCCCCAAATCTTTTTTGTAAGGAGTTCCCCCATAGCTTTGAATTTTAAAAATAAATTAGTTGTGAATATGTCAAACACGCAAAAGTAAGGAAAATAGTGTAAGAGGGCCCAGTGTACCCAGCACCCAGTTTTGGTAAATATTCACACGTGCCTTATTTCCTGTAGCTCTTATTTGGAATAAAATGCTACCTCTTCTAACTCATGCTCCGTTCTCTCAATCATTTTGTCTCTTTTGCTCCCAGGACAAATTACCAACATTCCTGATTGGCAGTCACTGCTTTAGACGATGGAGAGACTTTGAGGTGTTTTTAAGGAGGGATACAGACACCAGAGGTGTTTTTGGAAAGCCAACCTAACAGTGCTCTCTTATGGAGGTCAACAGCACACGGGGAGGAGGTGTGCGGGCTCAGGAGGAGCCAGGTTCAGTAACCAAGAAGGTGTGGCTCTTTTCACTCCTGGCTTGTGAAGAGGCCTTCTCTTTGTGTTATTGCGACCCCAGTATCCACTCCCCCTTTTACTCCTCTAGTCACCAGCTTTTGTCTGTCTTCACTCCACGGGCCAGCTTGGGCTTTATGATGAGTCATTTCACCTAGCCTCTTGCTGCTTGTTTTGGAGTTCCTAGCTTTCTTAACATGATTCCATGCCAATTATAACTTTGAATCTTCATCTTAATAGGACTGCTTCTTTTCCTTGAGGCAGTGACCTTGCCTTTCTGGATTTTCTTTATTGCTAATAGTAATTTTGCCATTGCCAGTGTCCAAAATGAGGCACATTCATATTCAAGTGATTTCAGTGGGCTGAAGTCTATTTTAGATTAGGCTGGGTTCCTGAAATTGCTCCAGCTCTGTTCTTCGTCAGAAAGTACAAGTGATACCTCAATAATACTGCCAGATCTTGTTTATCTGTAGAGGGAAATTTTGATGACCAATTGGGAAAAATGTCCAAATGACATATAAAAATGTGCTTAAGTAGGTCAGATTTGGGCATTTATCAGCAAATGGATTCTGTTTTTGTTTCCATTACGTAGATTTGGCATGGGTCAAAGCCAGTTAAAACTTTTGGTTAACTATATTTATTTTGCTTGTAAGTATACCAACCCAAACATATGGAGGTCAAATCCTTATTATAGGACTATGGATAGACACAACAACATGGATAAATCTCAAAATGGTAATGTCAAGAAAACACATAAATAAAGCACCACACTGTATACTTTTATTTATGCAAGAGTCTTAAAAGTACAAACTTACTTAAAAACATTGAAAGGAGATTGGTGGTTACTTGGAATGGAGGGGGGTGCAGAGGGGAAGGAAGGGAGGAGAGGGCTGGAAGGGTACAAGAATTCTTTTGAGAGTGACGGAAAAGTTTATCTAGATTATGTGCATGATTGTATCCAAAGGGCATACATATGTCAAGATCCATTAAATCATATACTCCAAGTATGTGCAAATGCATTATGTTGTCAGTTATATCTTGATAAAATTGTAGAAAGGCATTAGCAAGGAAACACATTTATCTTATAATATTAAAACAAACAAAAAATTGTTGTTATAATCAGATAATGTCTATACCAGGGATACTATGTGAATTCATTCATTCATTCATTCATTCATTCATTCATTCATCATTCATTCACTCACTCACTCTGCATGTTTGGATATCTATGGCATGTATGAAGCACTCTGTTGGAGACAGAGTGTTAAGCAGGATAGATAAGACCCTAACTCTAGGCTGCTTACACTGTGGTGTAGGGGACAAGTCAACGCAAAATCAAAGTAAAGTGTGCTGTGTTATGATGGTGCAAGAGGAAAAGTTTTGAAAATGTTTCTCAGGACTATCTAAGATGGTTACTTGGTAGCAGATGCCTGAAGCTATTTTGCAAAGGATTCTGAAGCTGAGAAGGAAGAGATAGCTTGACCAGCCTCTTCCATGCGTGGGGGAAGGGGGTAGTAAATGCCGTGGATTTGCCAACATAACGCTACAGTATTAAAGTTGATTTTGTTCTAAATTTCTCAATAGTATGACTATTTTAACTGGTTCTGAAAACATTGGAGAAAAATAGAGCTCTCTTGTTGTAGACTAACTTTATTTTTTCAGAGCAGTATTTTAAATGCAGAGCATTTCTTGTTGGGGAAACACGAACCTTCGAGTCTGTGGTGGAGGCAGAGGACAAGTGTTCTTTTGTTCTTCAAAGTTCTGTTTTTACGCGTGTTTTACCCACTGATGGGAGTGTGTGTGAGCCTTTGCTAAGGACACTGCAGCTGGACTGTGTAGTGGAACCAGGTCCAGAAAAAGAATCGCTAAAGAATGCAAGTAAACAGGATGTCAGATGTTATCCTTAGCTTATTTCCCTAAACATAGCTTTTTGGCTGCAAAGTAAAATGCCATTCTTCTAGCTTCTGCTTCTCCACAGAGATGGCTGACAGCAGGCACAGTCCTCATTTGCTTGGCACATAGTCACTGTGAGGCTCAACGTGTTTTGCAGAGAGTGATCATGACATACAGCAGTTCTGTGAGATATATGAGGACACGGGGCTGTTTCTCAGAGGAATTTCTCAGCCTCCCTAACTCCTCGAGCTCTGTTGTGCCAGCACAGCTCCCCACAAGGATTAGATCCGTCTGACCTAAGAGCCAGTTGGCACCTTTCTCCTAACAGAAGCTAGATTTCCCTGGGACCAGACTATTTCTTGACAGCATTTTCCCAGACTGGCCCAGGAGCGGCTCATTTCCAAGGCCCCTGAGGTGCTGGCTCACCTCTGTTCTCCACCAGCACTTGCTTCCTCCTTTCTCCTCCCTCCCTAGGGTCCTCCTCATTTCCTTTCCTTACAGCCTCTTGCACTATTGGGTTTTGGGAGGAGGTTGTGTGTGCGCGCGTGCGTGCCTGTGTAGGTTTCTCCTTCCTTTTTTACCCTAATAAATTTGTTTTGCAGGTTTAAAAAAAGAAAACCAGCGTCATCCAGGATTTTACATTAATTTTTATCTGCTTCCACATCTCCCTGTGTGATCTCTGTGGTTTTAAAATCCCACGTTTCCAGTGCATTCCACTATTGTCTAACAAAAGTTGTTTTAAACCTTTGCACTGTAAGCACCAGAGGAGAACTCATAAAAAGGAAGGCGGCAGCAGATGCAATCACGGATGTGGCTTAGTCCTTGCAGTGGCCCCAGAGAGCTGTTTGGAGTGTACCATCCGCAGCAATGAATCCAGAAGAGCGAATCGTGACATGGCTCATCTCTCTTGGCGTTTTGGACTCTCCCAAAAAGACCATCTGCGATCCGGAGGAGTTCTTGAAGTCCTCGCTGAAAAATGGGGTCGTGCTCTGCAAACTGATCAACAGACTTATGCCTGGCTCAGTGGAAAAGGTAAGGTCAATCTGCAGTAGCTTCAGGGTTGCTTTACCACCAGAGAGCAGCAATAATATAATTCAAGCTTTTCTATTGCCCAGTGTGTGGGAATCGCCTTCTTCAGTAACTTACTAAGAGTTTGGATAGTCTTTCTGTTTTTGTAGGTTGCAAAAGTTGGAATGGGAAACGTTAGGCTTAACGATTGCCTCCCTCCCCCCAATGTTAGCGTGGTAAAAGCCACTGACAGTAGAGGACAGGCAGACACCCATGTCACAGGTTTGCTCTAGTGTGGAGATATTTGGTATGTTCTCCGTGTACAGGGGACATGTTTTAAACTCGAGGTATTTATGAGTCTTTGGGAGAATAGAATAATTTGCAACAGATCTTGATGATATTTGTGGAGAATTTGCCTAAAGATTGGTAGAGAATGCCTTTTCAAAACATACCTATTGAAGAGGGGACTATTTAGCAGTTAGGAAAAACTATCCAAAGTGCTACATATGGATTGTAAATACAGGAGAAACTAAATATATTTTTCAAGTGCAACATATCTTTAAAGTGAAACTAACTTGCCCTATTAAAAAGACTGAAGGTGTTTTTTATGTTGAAAGCCCATGATCAAAATAATGAATAATTTTTAAAGCAGCCACTTTAAATAAGCATCAAGGTAGGGTCCTAAAATTATTTTCTTAAAGTCATCATCGAGCATGACTGTGAGGATGGCTTTATTTGCTCTCTTGAACCAGCTTGCATTTTTACTGAGCACGTAGCATTACTAACGTTTTCTTAAACTTATGAAACTGATAACATATACAGGAATGTAATCAAATGCGGCGAACAGCTAAGGGGAAATAGACTTTCAATAAGTTATAAGGAGGAGGAAAGAAGGAGGCTGAAGCTATCTGTTTTTGCTTGAAAGCATAACTGAACCACACCACCCCAGTGTCTTGGTCTCACCACCCTTGGCTCGAAGACATGATAAAAATTTGTAAGTAGAAATGGCCTGGTGACATTTGAAACACAACCCAGCCGTTTCGTCGTTTGCATCACTTCCTTCAGCGGTAGTTTCTCTTCCTGGATTGACAGCACAGTTGTCTCCCCCCCCCACACCCCGCGCCTTTTCTAGCTATCAGCAAGCGATATATGCAGCTTGCTGGGCATGGGATGAGCATTCCCAACTGATGCTTGCTTGTGTTTCCCTAGTATTGTCTGGAGCCCCACACGGAAGCCAGCTGCATCAGCAACATCGATGAGTTCCTGCGAGGATGTGCACCCCTTCAAGTGGAGGTAAGGCCCCTGCCTTACCCTCCTCATTGTCATTAGTGTTTCCTGTGCTAAGGAAAGTTGGTAATAAAAGCACATGGTTGCTTTTTGCTGCTGGCAGCCACAAAGCTAATCAGAGGTGACATTTTATAGAAACCAGAGTTGAGATTGGGGGCTTGCTGGTGTCTGTCTTTTCCAGAAACCAGCTTCAAAGCAAGCAAAGCCAAGTCATGACTCAAAAAATGATGCCTTTGGCATATAGCATCTAAATTCTACCAACAGGCTTCCAGTGACAGAGCTTGTGGAGATGTGAGGGCTGCGCCAGAGCCCCTGTAATCCCCTTGAGTAGGGAAGAGAGGAAAGGCAACTGTTACTCTTCCCCGTTAACATCTGAGAACAGAGGGCAGAAGGAGCTGAGAGAACCCAGCCCTGAGGTAGAAAGAGCATATTCAGTTCTGTTGCCTGATTTGTACTGTGAGACCCCGACAGGTGGGGTGGTGTTGCTAGATATGTGTCTTTACTTCTGTATGCCTCAGTGGGTCTGCCTGTTAAATGGACACAGTCATAGCTACCTCATGAGGTTGTTTAAATGATCAAAGGAGAAGGTACATAATAACTTAGGACGAAGAGTGCTAACTTCATACAATCTGTGAGATAATTCATGTAGTGGCCTCAGTACAGGGCCTAGGACAGAAATGTCTTGTACTAGTAAAGGAGCGCTAGCGGTGTTAGCTATGCACAGTTGTAGTGGTTTGAGCATGGACTCTAGGGCTGGACTTCTTAGATTTAAATAGAAATTTTCACGGTGGCTTTGTGACCTCAGGCACGGTACTTAACTGTGCCTCTATATCCAGGGCTTCTGATCTGTAAAATGGGAGTAATGGTGCCACCTATCTCCTAGAATTGGTATGACATTTCTACTAATTCATGAACACACAGCCCCCAGGAAAGTGGATGAAACAGTAGCTTTCTTCAATTGAAAGTTATTATTCCCATGATTCTTGTCTGTACTAGCTTTGCCCCAGTTAAACTTTTCCTCCTTCATATTTTTCTGGAATCTACCCCCAGCACCAAGCTACATCATGTCTCAGAATATCTCATGCCAATTTTCCCTGTTGCTCAATTTGATTCTTCTCTCTCTCTCTCTGTGTCTCTGTCTCTATTTGTGTCTCTCTGTCTCTGTCTGTCTGTCCGTCCGTCTGTCTTTTGAGATAGTCATGGCTTCAGCACTTGATATCCCTTATGAAATGATATCTACTATGAAACAGATCACAGCATTTTCTTTTTTTTACATTTATTTATTTGTGTGTGTGTGTGTGTGTGTGTGTGTGTGTGTGGCCAGCTCAGCCCACCAGGGGGGCGGGGCTTGCTGGGGGATTGAACCGCGGTCCCTGTGCATTGCCAAGCTTGTTTCAAGTAGGTGCTTTAGACCACTGAGCCATCTCTCCAGCCCCATTTTCTTTTTTTAATTTTTCAAATGAAAACATGGTGGAGTTGCCAATGATTTTTGAGTTCTGAAGCTGCCAGAAAGTATACTGAGTGTCTTTGCAGTTCTAAGAATACTAGATGATACCGAAGCCCCTCCTGGGTCTGGCATTGTTAGGGATTTTTCTGATAAGTAGTGCTTACTTACTCTTTTAAGCATGAGTGCTTAAAATATTTCTATTCGCTTTGGGTAGAAGTCTTTTTAAAAAATATATAGCACTTTTTTGTCTTCTCAAAAGGCGTTGGGCATATTTTTGTCTCCTTTTGATAATTCAGGCTGACTGCACATGCTATGAACATCGTGATAAGGCGGTATCTGCTGTTACGGGTAAGCATACGCCTTCTCTAGGTTGATAGATGTGAGTTGAAGTCTTGGCTCAGTCAGTCACTGAGTGTGTAGCACTGGGAAAAGTTACCTGCCATCCCCACGCTCCTGTTTCCTATCTGTGTAATGGGAACATTAGCACTGCCTGCTGCAGGCGACTGTTTCAAGGATCACAGGAGCAAATGCATCGAAGGCACTTAGTATTTCACAGCACACAAACATGCACGCTAGCTGCCTCCTGCAATGTGACCAGGTGTTCTTTGTATTGTTGTGGGAAGAATCCTGCCTGGAAAGGATCTTTAGAAGCCATATGGAGGCACTCCTAGAACTCTGGAAAGGCTCACAAAATCTCTACATAAGGAATGAAACTGAAAGCAGAGGTGGGGAGCCCAGGGAGCCACGGATATCGACCATGCTGTCTCAAGCTTCTAAGTAGTTGCCAAAGAGACCCAAATGCAAAGACTTATGAATGGCCCTAGATGAAGAATCTCCCAGGCCCACAGGGCCTAGCACAGTGCCTGCAATGCCTAGTGGATTTTTGTCGATGCCACAAAATTGTAAATGTATAAAAAGTAAGAAAGAAAGGGCTTGATTCTTCCCCTAAAATACCATATGTATCTAAAGAAAGAATGCCAGCTTGAAACGGTCAGATTGGAAATTCAGAAAAAGGCAACCAGAGATGTAGAGGGACACTGCCAGGCTGAATACTGGCCTCTCCAAGTGACCGCCACCTTTGTGTTCTCATATGGTCACAGCTGGTGACTGAAGAGGGAGGTCTGCTGAGACGCTGGAACAAAATGCCACCCTCAAGTGTAGTGCCGGGGATGGAACCCCAGTCCCTGCACTTGCCTAAGTAGGCATTTAGTCCTCTGAGCCATCTTGCCAGCCATGACTTTTTTTTTTTGAGACAGAGTTTTGCTATGTAGTGTGGGCTGGCCTGAACTCACTTATGTAGCCCAGGCTGGCTGCCAACTCACCATGATCCTCTTGTCTCAGCCTCCTGAGTGCTGGGTTCTTTGATCCATTTTGAATTAATCTCTGTATATGGCAAGAGGTAAAGTTCCAAATGAATTGTTTTGCATGGGCATGTGCAGTTTTTTAAAAATCACCATTTATTGAAATTTTTTTCTTTCATTGAATTGACTTGTATAGCTTTGCAGTAAGCCGTCTAATCAAAAGGTGTAAGTCCTCCAACTCACACTTTCATTTTTGAAATTATTTTGACTGTTGTTCTGATCCTTTCTGTTAAATACTGTGCTAGAGGTTTCTAGCTGGACAAATTAGGAATGAAAATAAAAGGTGGGGCCAGGGAGTTAGCTCAGTAGAATAAGCGTTTGCCTGGCAAGCTCAAGGTCCTGAGTTCAATCCCTGGTTCTGCCAAAAAAAAAAAAAAAAAAAAAAAAAGGCATCCAGCTTACAAAGGGAAAAGCAAAGCTATCTCTATTCATAGATGGCATAGTCTGGGTGTCCTGCATGTCCGTGTCAATTTTAGTGCCAGCTTGCCCATTTCTGCCCATGCATGGACTGTGTTCACTCTGCAGAAGGCCTTCAGAAATGCTCCCACCTCAATAACAGGGTTTGGTTCCATAAACACAGGATATCTTTCTGTTTACTTAAACCTTCATTAGTTTCATTCAACAGTGTTTTGTAGTTTTCAGTGTACATTTCTTGTACCTCCCTGGCTCAATGTATTTCAAAATACAGTATTTTATTCTCCTTGATGCTATTACATATGGAATGGTGTTCTTAATTTTATAATTGGATTTTTCACTGAAAGTATGTAGAAATGCAATTGATTTTTTTATACTTATATCCTTTAACTTTGTAGGAATTGCTCATTAGTTCTAAGAGGCTTTTTCTGGGTGATACTTTATAGTTTTCTTATATGAGATTACGTCCTCTATGAACAGAGATGGCTTTACTTCTTCATTTGTGATCTAGATGCCTTTTATTTTCATTCTTAATTTGTCTGGCAAGAACTTCTAGCACAATGTTTAAAAGGAGAAGTCACAACAACAGCCTTGTCTCTAGTCTTAAGGAGAAAGCTTTCCATCCCTTGGCAGTAAGCATGGTGTTATTTGTATGCATGTTTTTCAAATGTCCTTCAGCAAGCCGAGAAGGTTCCTTTACAGTCCTCATCATTTGGGGTTTGTTTGTGTGTGTGTGTGTGTGTGTGTGTGTGCATTGTTTAGTTCATGAAAAAGCACTGGATTTTGTCAAATGTTTTTTCAGCCTCAGGTAAGATGATCATTTGCTTTAGTAATTTATTATATTTGTGTGTTGTATTGCATTGATGGATTTTCATATATTAAACCAATTTTCCATTCCTGGGATAAACCTTAGTGCGGCATGTTGTATATGCACATGAAAATTTGTGCACTTTTATGGTTATTCTTGAAACATATTTCTCAATGGAAATGCAATTATTATGACAAATTTTGATAGATGGTGTCAAATTCTCCTACAAAATGCTATATACCAAGTTACACTCCCACCAATAATGTATCTTTTTCCTTATGTGTCTGATCATATTAGATATTATTTATCTTTAATGATTGCTAAACTGAAGGATGAAAGTGACATTTAATTTTTCGTTGTAATTTATACTTGACATTTCCCAGTGAATTGGAATCCTTTCATTCCTTTATATTTTTGAACCAAATGTATCTTATTATTTTACAGAATGGAGAAGACAGGAAGAATATTTAGGTCTTAACTAAAAACTTTCAAAACATATGGAAACATTCTCATTTCTAGATAGGGTCACTGAAGTCTCTCAACAATAGAAATTCTAGCAATAGTGGGCCTTTTAAGTCAGTTTTTGTTTTTCTGATGTGTTGTCTCTGGACTCGGCAGGAGTCATAACCACATTATGTACAATCCTTCCAGTCAATCAGGAGTGCCCTGGGTGGTGGCTCTCTGCCTGTGCTTGCTCTAGCAAGGGCCACAGACCCACTGGTGTGCAACATCTCTAGCCTTGTGGCTTTGCTCTTACCCAAGCCATTCTCCTGCCTCATCCTCAGCAGGTGCTGCCGCTTTGTCCTTTATCACCACTACCACCCACCTGTGGGGAGGGAGCCCATAGAACTTCTTACTTCACAAAAAGATATTTTGTTATTGAAGGATCTTGTTGAATGGATGTGCAGTTATGCTCTCGCTCTCCCTCAGTTTCTCTCTCTCTCCTTTTCTCTCTGTCTCTCTCCCTGTCCCTCTC